GATCTTCTTGCTCATGCTTTGCCACCTGAAGTTTGGCCTCTTCTTCTTCTTCGCGGCTTTTGTCCTCGTAATGACCTTCTTCATTGCTTTCTTCCTTCCTGAGACAAAGGGTGTCCCAATTGAAGAAATGAGCAATATCTGGAAATCACATTGGTTCTGGTGCAAGTTTGTTCCTTATGAAGATGCTCCCGCAACTAAAAGTGTTGACCAAAAGTCCACTCCTTGAAAGCTGAAAAAAAAAAATTATTGGTGCGCAAATTTTTCAGCACTATTTCCAGAAGAAGAGTTATGTGACAAGTGAAAAAGGTGAAAGCAAACCAAAAAAAATTATTTGTCAAATAACTTTGAGACATATGATAGAGTCATGGAACTTGGACATTGCATGGTTCTATTGTCTTCGAACATCGTACTGGTGTACACTCTTATGCGAAAAAGATGATTGTTGTTTCTGAGTGATGTGTGAGTTGTACACGATGTATGAGAATTTTGTGTGTACTCTTCCATTTGTATTTGCACACACACACACCATTTTTGCAATAAAAATGCAACCATGAGGCTAATCATGCCTGCATGGACGTTCACTTTTTTGTTGCTTTAAACTTGTCTGTTGATCTATTTATAATTATATTGTCTAAATTCAATAGTTATTGTAATTTATAATTATAATTAAGCGAAGATAATGGATCAATTTTAAGAAGAGGTTCATTGGGCCGGGAAATTCATAAATAATTAGATTCAACCAATAATGTAAATTGTTCCATTTAAATATTTTGGTGAATAGAAAAATTAAACGAGGCTAGCTAGCTATTATGAAAATTAATTAAAATAACAAAAAAGAGTGCAAAACAATACGAATTTTTAAATTTGTTAAACGTTATTTCTCACTCTTGTCTTCTACATAAGAATTCTTATTAGTCATCATTTCTAAAAAATAATTCGTCAAAAATTATTATGCGTCTGCTAAAAGTCTGGGCACTATTTTCTTTTTTTTTTTTTTTTGGGGGGGAGTATAACTGACACATGAATTTTTTTGGGCCAAAGACACAATTGTTTTTGATACAAGCCGAAGACACATTAATTAAATATAAACTTTTGCATTTCTCAGACCCAATTCAAGGCCCATCACGGTTAATTTTTTTTTTTTAATTTCCAGCTCAAGAATCCAATCCAGAGGCACCGACTTCTGAAAATTCACAGACGTTCAGCTGCTTACGAGTCTTTCAGAGTTCAGAAGGCGGATCATTGCAGCGGCTCCTTTGTTCAACGGCTTCATTGGGCCTTCCATTAATGTTGTTCTACTTCTGACTTCACGGTTTGCTTGTTTCGGCTTCTCTGCTCGCTTCGCTTCTCTGATAGTTTGCCCTTCAGTGGTTGGTCACCGCCTTGGTCTGTCTTCTACTTGCTCTAATAATAAGAAGGAATTGCGTTTGTATCCAGCGAAAATATTTGAAAGTCCTCCATGATTCGATCTCCGGCGCAACTTCCTGGATTCTTGGCGCGCAACGTTTCTCTTCTTTAGGGTATTATTTGATCCCCCTCCCCTCCCGGGTTTTTTTCGCCTTCAATATCTGTTGACGTAACCTAAGTTTTCGAGCTTTAATCTGCTTCGTTGAATTTTTCTGCTTGTATCGGAGTTTGTCTTCATTTAGCCAGTGATATGCCTTATTGCATTGCACTGTGTTTTGATATATGTTCTTAGTTATTGTTATGTTGTAGATTCTCCGTGTTGCTTACCATAAATTGGTCAATCATTGGCTATATTTTCTATTCAAAAACACTTCCCCATTGGTTTTCCCTATCAGTACATGGAGACAAAGCCATCCAAACTACCCAACTTGATTGAATTTCCAGGTGATTGTCTTCTTCCTGAATTTTCCTCTCTCGTTCGCTTAAACATGTAATGGCACATGACATGACATATTATTATTTTTCTTTTTCAAGGATCTTTCTTCAAGTATCTCCGAGGACCATTTCCTGCCCGTATCACTGAGTTGTCCAATTTCGAAATATTGTATTACTCTTGAAACTCTTTTTCCTTCAATAACTTATTGTCTCCTATATTGAATATTGAATATGTAGATGCAGGGATGCTGTTTGTATTGCTTTAATTTGACCATTTGTCACGTGCAAAAGATTAATCATGCATAGAGTCATGAGTTGATTATATCACTCAACTTCATGATCCTTTTGTCCCTTGATGTATGTGTGCAAAAGATTCAACATTTGTGCTGTTCATATTTATATAAATAGGTTTAAAAAACATAAACAGGGATATTTGTTGTATTATTTTATTGTTATTATGGCTGCTTTAGACACAATTCTATTTTATTTTCTACTTCTGGGTTTCTTTTGTTTAATCCGAAAGAGAAAAGGGATGATTTGGTTAAGGCAGATTCAGAAAGGTTTAATACCATCACCGAGGAAGTAGAGAAGTTACGTGAGCACTGTATAGTGTATACTCCATTGCATTGTCATTCTTTTCATTTTTCTTTGATTGATTTCCTGATTTGGTAAATTATTTTCTTGTTATCGTTTCATTACTATTGTAGTTCAGAAGCCAAGAGAGCAAGTTGCAAATGCTGAGGCGCTTCTTGACCTGGCTACCACTTTGGTCGGTTCTGTGAAGTCTCTACTTAGTGACGGTGTAACTCCTTCTGAGTCTGTTGGCTGGATGTTTTTGTGCTTGGAAAATCTCATGGATCTTAAGCAGTGAAAAGAGTCCCCAAATATCAATTAACAGGAAAGAAGTTGGATTGGCTGTATCACCAATTTTCATGAAGGTTCATGGCTGCCGCACCATGTTAGTATATAGGGATTTGCCTCGTTAAAATGGCTTCTGGAAATATAATTTTCCTCCTTAACTTCTGTTTTTTTTTTTTTCCTTCTTTGGTTCCTTTGGGTGCTTGTTTAAAGGCTTGGTCGTATGGAAAATGCATTGAAGCAACAGAACGTAGGACAGAGAAAAAGCACAAGCCCGACAACAGCTATGGTGAGGCCAGAAGAAGTGACTTTGCTTTCTTCCCTGTGTTTTTCCTTATATATATGTAGACGTATAGCTTATGAAGGCTACTTAATACACAATAATGAAGAGTATTTAATGTGAAAGTTTTTAAAGCATGTTAACTTTATACTATGGTTTCGCAGGTAGTTAGCCTTTACTCTATTTCAGTATGAAAGCTTTTGAATGACACATACAGTATCCATTTCAAGGTCATCTGTCAATCATGAAAGCAGTGCAGAATTTGGATAGCGATAAGAGTCATGATAACTTGTACACTTCTTTTCCTGACTCCATTATTTAGGGACATACTTAAGGTTTGTGTCCATGCGTCTACTTTGTACACCCCTCACTTCAGCTTAAATAGATGGTTCTATTCTTCTCATTTTGCTCAGAATTCTTGCTAGGATTTGCAAGTTAGAATGATATTAAACAAGGGTGCTTAAGTGCCTTGCTTGGAAGAATTTGATGTTCCCTCTGCTCGCCAGGTGCAATTTTCGCTAAGCCTTCTTTTTATCACATTATTGTTGTTTTTAATTATTATATTCTATATGAGATAAATGACTTTGCATTGATATTTGTTTACTTGTTCCTGTTTGCAAGTTGCTGCATGCTCCAGCACGTTTCTACTGTAAATTAACTAATCTTGAATATTTTTTCTTGTATCTTGGTTGTTTTATGTGTTTTGTGTGTGTGTGTGTGTGTTTTTTTTTTTTTTTGGGGGGGGGTATTTAGTCAAAAGGAGATTATTTTACCGATAGTAAGCATTGACCCTCCTAAATTAGAATACGACAATGGTATTACGCTCCATCCAAAAATGTGTCTCAAAAATAATCTAGCTTAGTGATGATATGTGTTTGCATCTATCAGGAGAGTATGTTATGGGTCTTATATGTCTTACATAAGAAGCCTCACAAGAGAAGATACACGTATATATGGTTCGTAGACGTGTATGGGTAGCAAAATTGAAGGATTAAAGTATAGGGAAAAATAAAGCCTATGAATGTTACTCCCTCTAGTTCTAATTATAAGATTTCGTTTGTAGTCTATAAACAAGGTCTTATAATTAAGACCGGAGGTAGCATTTCCTAGTATCTCATTTGTCTTTCTAAGATAAAATATGATCAGATATTAATATCCATACCTAGTTGAGTGCTAGTATATAATAAACATGTTAATATTAATTAACCCTAAACTAATGCCTCTTAATGCTCCCCCTCATGCTGGATTCCGACTTGGATACTTCTACTTTTCACAATGCTCCCCGCAAGCTGCGAAGCTGCTTGGGGGGTGTGATTTGTAGTCTTCAACTAGGCCAATCTTCTTCTCTCTCTTAAAAGTACCAGGATATAGATTTGGATTGGGATTATTATCTTGCTAGAAAGCGCTACAAGAGCCAATTCCAATAAACTATATAAAAAACATGAAATCCAATTCCTATAATATTCATAATGCTCCCCTCAAGCTGGGAAGCTGCTTGGGGAGTGTGATTTGTAGTTTTCAATGGGCCAATCTTCTTCCCTATCTTAAAAGGGCACCATAATGTAGATTTGGAATGGGATTATTATCTTGCTAGAAAGTGCTACAAAAGCCAATTCCAATAAGCTATATAAAAAACATGAAGGGGGTGTTTGGCAATTTCTAAAAAAGTGCTTTTTGTACCCAAACCATGGTTTGAGCCAGATAATTGCCAAACACCCAGTTTTTTCAGCAAACCTTGGTTTGGGTCAAAACCTAAGTTTCAAAAGAAGCAGAATATTTTCGCTTCTGGAGTGAAATTTTGGGACATTGGTGTAATCATTATATCCTGTCAGAAGGCACCTATATGACAAAACACACCCTCATATTGAATCACAAGAACAGGCACAGGTGAGGTATTTCTCAGCTCTGCAGAAGAAGATCGCGCTTTGGGTAGTCCAATCTGTCTATCCTTGATTTGTGATCAACGGTGTTTGCATTGTCCGGTGGTGGTTTAGTGAGGTTGACATCGTTGGTTCCTAGGCTTAGCTCCACTACTCAGGTAAGCTATCTCCTCTTCAATAATCATTTTCTTCCATTATGTATTTTCTTCATTCATGCGTTGCGTCGATCTGTCCATCCTTTATATGTTCCTTGCTTGCGGTTCGCTACATCTGCTCATTGCATCGTCTGGTCCTCTTTCTTTTGCTTTTTCTTGGTTTATAGCTGCTTGTGGGTGTTCGGATGAGGCAGAGGATCTGTTTCGTTCTCAGATTTTCTCCCACCTTTGTTTTTTTTCTTCTTCTTTTGTTTCAATGCTGGCTTGATTCACATTTTGCTTGGTTCATAGCTGCTTTCCTTGGTTCACGTTTTGCTTCACTGGTGGCTTGATTTGTTCTTTTCAGTACTGGTTTCGATTGTTTTTTCTTCCACATTCATATCTTGCTTGCTCTGTTGAAACCATGTGATCTTATTACTTGGTTCGGTTTCATGGATCTGACTGTATAAATAAATGTGGCTTTCAAAGACAAAGGACTTGTTTTTGTTTAACTGGTTTGCTTATGATAGAAAATTAGAAATCATTTTGCTGGCCAAAAAAAACCCATGATTTGCGTGTTATTAGAGACAGAGGATTTGTGTGATTTTGCTGCCTGTTTGTTTTGGAATCTGTGTGCAGCATTCAAATATACAGAGTATCTGTTTGTTTTGAAATCTGTGTGCAGCATAGAAATATACATATGAAGGAAAGAAAAATGATAATAATATTGGGATGATAGCTTATTTGGATAACAATAACACTTGCTATTTTAACTGATTTTAGGTTGATTAACTTGTGATAATTGAAGAGCTGTAATTGTTCTATAGCATAATGAGTAAGGATCAAGTGAAAGCTTCGTGGGATCTAAAAACCACAAAGGTGTTCATTGATTTGTGCATTGAACTAGTTCAACAAGGAGAAAGAAAAGGTACAAGCTTAACAAAGAAAGCTTGGGGAATTCTTGCCGATAAGTTCAATGCGAAAACTGGGAGAGCCTATACAAAACCTCAATTTAAGAACAAATATGATTCCTTACGAAAGGAATGGCAGACATGGGATAGGTTGCTCCACGAGACAGGTTTGAGATGGGATATTGAAAAGAATACTGTTAGTGCAATTGATGATTGGTGGGAGAAGAAATTAGTGGTAATTATTTAACCTTTTAATCTTATATTTTCTCTATCTATTAATTGTTTTTGTATATTTTATAATATTATTGGTGCTTAATGTGCAGGAAGTTCCAAACTACAAAAAATTTAGAAAAAGAGGACTTCAATTTCGAGATGAATTAACTCAACTATTTGGAAGTGTGACTACAACTGAACCACAATTGTGGGCACTTTCTCCCATGACGCTTCTAAGTGAAGGAGCACCTAATGATGATATGGAAGAAGGGTTCGGAGATAATAGTGAAATCTTAGGTACATCAACTGGTATAAGTGGGGAATTTTACTTAGTAACTTTTAATGAAAATAGTGGAGGTAGTAGGGGCAACATTGGGATAAGGCAGGATAACAATCGTGGGGATAGACCTGGTAGCTCATTGGGGATCAGAAGAAAGAGTGAAGCCATGAAGAAGAAACCAACTTTCCCTATAAAAATATCAGATGCACTTAGTAGGATAGCTAAAGCAAATGGTTCTGATTTTCAACGTGGAAATGATATGGTTTCACAAGCACAAGCTAGAAGGTTGGAAGAAAAAGCACGTGCTTATGAGACTTCAATTATGGGAGTCCTATCTCACCTTAAAACAATTGATGAAGTTTTCAATGATATTGATTTGTTTACACGCTGCACACGACTTCTTATGGAACGACCGGAGGCAAGGGAAATGTATGCGGCGCTGAAGGATAGGAGGGAACAACTTGTGGCCGTTTTGAAGCATTTCACTAAGAATTTATGACTTGTTTATTATATTAGACAACTCTTTATGTCTATTGGATTATGTGATTATTGGATTGTTGTATGAATTAGACAACTCGTTACTTTCTTAAATGTTTCGTAATTTCTATGTAAGGATTCTAAACTTTATGTATGTGTGCATAGGATAAAACAGAAATGGATGATGAAATTAAATTTGTGGAGGAGCATACTAAGCAATGAAAAAAAAGGATTAACGAAGTTGTAGCATTGGTCAGTGGAGACGTTGTTCTTTACTTGTATAAAGAGCCCCAGCGTACAAATGTTTATACAGGTAGCTCATGGGTAAGGGACGTTTTATAGGGTAACTCCACTCGTTATAATATGTTTAGGATGGAAAGGGGTGTGTTCTTAAGTCTTTGTGTAGAATTACAACAACATGATGTAAAGGAAACTAAAAATATAGAGATACATGAATCAACTGCAATACTTTTACATACTGCTAGCCATGCACTTAGTAGCAAAATACAGCAAGAAAGATTTCAGCATTCAAGGGAGACAATCAGTAGAGATTTTCATAATGCCTTAATAGTGTGCTGTACAATATGTCCAATATCAAAACGAAAAATTCAACATTTCGGCATGTTCATTCAAAAATATGGCATGATAAATACTGGTTTTTTTTTTCGAGCATGTTATTGCAGCAATTGATGGCACATGTTTCCTGCATTGTCAGTGCAACAGATCAAACTAAATTTATTTTTAGAAAAGGAACAATATCTCAAAATGTTATGGTGGCTTGTGATTGGGACATGTGCTTTATTTTTGTCTTGGCCGGATGGAAAGGTAGTGCACATGATGCTCACATATTTGATCCTGCCCTCACAATTCCTTCAATGAACTTTCTCCATCCACCTGAAGGTATTTTTTTAATTTGTTACATTTTATTTATGTTTAGCTTAAAACACAAACATTATTTACACTAATTTCGTTTTTGATATAGGAAAATATTATTTGGTGGATGCTGGATACCTAATATTAAAAGGATATCTCAACCCATATAGACGGGAGTGTTATGATCTGCCTAATTTTCGAAGAATATCTATACTTAAAAATGAAAATGAGGTTTTTAATTATTTCCATTCAAGTTTAATAAGTACAATTGAAAGAACTTTCAGAGTTTGGAAAAGTAAGCTTGCAATCTTACAAAACATACCATCCTATGACTATCAAACACAAGTTAAAATCGTTTGTGCAATGATAGCTATACATAATTTTATTAGAACGACATTTATTACTAATTCTGGATTCATTCAGTTTGAAGAAGGTACTTATGTACAAGATGTTGATGATGGAGTTGGATTTTCACATATACATTGATCAATACAATCATCATCTCACACGGCTCGGGTTCGTCATAATATAAGAGATGATCTTGTTAATTATACCCAGTGATAATAGTTATGTTTTTTTTTTATTTCTTTTATCATAGATTGTAATATATAGTTAAAAAATCCTATTACAAATGCTCTATATCGATGCAAACTCTTAATTATTGTGACACTTCTTTATTATGACCTTATATTCTCACGACAATTATTAATTATTATTTTAATGCGTGTTTATTCAATTTTGTGAAAAAATATCACCGCATGTCATGTTTATAATCTTTATGAATCTGTTCACAAAAAAAATATTCATCTTTTTCAAAAATATTTTTAATCTTATATTTTATAAATACATATATACATATGCTAACAATTAATTAGTTATATTAAAGATCGGAGTCAATATGTTGTTAAAAAAAATTAGTTGCAAAAAAATATTATGGGATTTCATGTTTAAAATCTTTAAGGCAAAATAATATTTTTCAGTTGGCAAAAAAATAATCATTTTTTCTAAAAACATATTTAATCTTATATTTTGTAAGTCCATATACACATATTAATTATTTATTAATTATATTTTTTTATATATTATTTATTATGTTGGCAAAACTATATTATTAACAAATTTATTACTTCAAATAAAAACATATTATGAAGAGAAAATTGCAAATAAAGATCCTTGAATATGTAAAATTGTTATGAAAAATAGCAAATAAAGACTCAGTCTCACTTTTGCAAATATAAAATGTGGGTGAAATGTTTAAAATGCCCTTCAACCAAATTGTGATTTGGTCTATTGAAATGAACTTATCATTTTACATAATCAACTCATCATTTGGCACACCCTCAACCAAGTTATGATTTGGTTTATTAAAGTTGTCATTCGCTAAAATGAACTTGTTATTTCTCATAGTCAACTTATCATTTGGTTGAGAGGCATTTCAGTCGTTTCACCCGCATTCATATTTGCAAAAGTGGAATTGGGTCCTTATTTGTTATTTTCCAAATTTAAAGTCCTAAATCATAATTTTACATAGTTCTTTATTTGTAATTTTTCCTATTATAAAATCTATCTTTTATGTAATTATCATATTAACTTATATCCTTTTTAGTAATTTGCACATATAAAAAGTGCTTTTAATAACAACTATATAAATACTCTCACTTTATCAGAATCATTTTTTCACAAAATCTATTCTTTTAAAATTTATTCTCAAAACTAACTTTTTCTCTAGAAGCTATTTTTCAAACTATAATTTGGTTTTATCCAAACACACCCAAGATCCAATTCCTATAATATTCCCCTTAAAGTGTGCAGACAAGTTTAATAAATTAAAAATAAAAAATACATTTACCTTTTGAGTAAGCCCAACCATTCATAACGTCATAATGTCGAATGTGTATTTAAACACAAAAAAGTTGCACAAGCTGGTTTTGTTTGGTATGATTCATGCAATGTCTTTGAACTCATGTATGTTGTTAACTAATTCAATGTTTGACAGGTTAGTATATTCTAATAACCTTATTATTAAATTTATGGAAACTTAAGTTATCATAGAAGTCAACCTTTTGTAGAAGCATAATTACGAGTCCATCGTTTTATTCAATTCCTATCCCATATTACTGTTGCTTTTTATAGAAAGAAGTAACAACTACCAATACTCCTTGCAAAAAAGGAATAAATTAAGCAAATAGAAAATATTATTATGAATTGTAAAATTTTTTACCTGTGGGCATATGGTATCTAGAAACACTCCCTTTTGCTTTGATAGAGCCTTGAAAATAGATATACTTGTCTCATGAGTATGAATCTTGTAAAGGAATTCAAACTTAACAGCCTTTGCTTCAGGAAATAAACAAACGATTCATGTCCCTATAAATGCAAGCATGTTAGTTTCAAGAGGTAAATTCTTTAATTATATTTACATTTATAAGAACATATTATGTCATAAATAGTTGGATGTGGGCAACGGCAAGTTGATTATAAGTTACAATCTTTAGTTAAATCCTCTTTTTCAATATCAGTACATCCTTGCCTTACCCACAATCGCTGGAACCATTAACCATATTTTTCATTTGAAAGATTATTAGGATCAGCGTACTTAAATATGGTTGCGATGGGGCTGTGAAAATACCTACTTGGATTGCACAATTTGTTGCACTATAGAAGAATTAATAAAAGATGCTTTAATTAAAAAATGCAATAAAATTATAAATTTACATGCCTTAGCTTGAATTAGTTGGACAAAATTCTTTAGTTACACGATAAAAGTCTTCTCATTTTCATTCGCGGTCTCAACCTCATAATAAGGATTGGAATAAAAGCATCTAGAATTTTGAATTGCTTAACTACCACTCTGACTTGATTATGTGCAATTTGAGTGTGGTGGATGTTCGCAACAAGATGGGGATGTGCTATATGCTATTAATCATCTACTGGGACCTAACAATGCAACTCTTTTTAATACTTTAATGTCTTGCAGGCAAGCGTGTCTAAGAGGCTCAGTTTTGTAGTCAAGTGTGCTGTGCTCTAAACTACCCAAGGTTTTATGCTCAAAGGAGTTGCATTGTTGGGAGTGCGACCAAGGGTGATGTAGTTCAAAATGCTAGTGTCATGTGATCTGCATGTGGATTCTAATAGATGATTAGTAGAACATGATAGCGTCCACATAAATGCGAAATGATCAAGTCAAATTGGTGATTGAAGAGGTCAAAAATTGAATATGCTCCTATCCCTATCCCTATTAATGAGGGTGACTATGTGATAAAGTTGAGAAGACTCTTATCTTGTAGTTAAAGAGATATATCTAGATGTTTCAAGCCCAGGCAAGTAAGTTTATGTTTTTATTGCAGATTTTACTCACAATGGAGCATCTCTTGTCAATTCTTCCATAACTTGGCCAATTGTCCCATCCGATCAAGTGTCTGTGGAGCCTCGGTCGCAGCTGTATTTGAGTGCATTGCAACAGGTGATTCTAATGACATATGATGGATTTGTCAAATTAAAAACATGGCTAACAAATCGAATGACTATGTGCAAGGAAAGGTGTATTGGTCGATATTGAGAAAGAATTTACCAAGGTTTGTAACTTACTCGACTTAATATTACATATATTCATCTATTTATGATATAGGTACTTTCTTGTAAATATAAATATAAATGAAGAATTCACCACTTAGAACTGTTATGCTTAAGAAGACATCCAAAAAATGAAAGCTCACCTATCTTATGCGCCTTATTATGCTCACCTATCTTTCTAATAAAAAGAAAAGGGTGAGATAGGCGACAAATAGCTTTCAAGCTGGCCTAGCTGCGAGGAATCAAGAGATCTTTGTTGGTGCAGACTTGCCTCTAGATTTTTCTCTGTGGTGAAGACTTTAGAAAAATTTTGGTTTCTTCTGCATACTTAACTATGCATACATACTTCATACTTGTATCATATACACTTCATACACGCATTCTATACATTCATATGCTCTTGCATTTGTTTAACTTGAACTTTGTGTGCGAGTAAGTTTTGTCTTTTATTTTTTTGGCTACTTGTTTTTATTGTGTGATTGTTTATGTGAAGAAAAACCAAAGCTAGCTCCACAACCCCAGTTGTCTATAACCCTAAGATTTAGAAACCCTTGCCAAAATTCGAAAGGAGAAAAGGGTTAAAAAGACTAGAGGTTTTAGTCGAGGAAGAAAATATCTCAATTGAATCTAGTCTTTCAAGTAGTGAGAGTGTTCCCATTAACAAAAATAATAGCTAATAGAGCTGGTAATATGAGTTGAGCCTACAGGCTCAACCCGCCAAAAAGTGACAGGTTGGGTTGATGAAAATTAAGACCATTTGAAA